ATATTTGGGCAAAATTATCCCCAACCCTAAGTAACTGATGTAGGTTCATGTTTCTATTGTTTCTATCTTTTTTATTCGCATTAAACTCATTAGAAGTCTTAAAAACCACTTGTCTTAAGTCGTAGGAACCCTGGGCACCATTCCCCTTCATTTTGTGCACCAATATAAGTCTGTCTAAACTGGAGGTCTGATCATCTGACTATGTTTCTTGCCTCGTCTCTTAGTTCACTGGTCTCATTACAAATAGGAAAGAAGACCCAAGTTGTAATAAACTAGAATTATACTTAAAGTATTTTCCAGTTAAGTCAGTGTAAGTTGGTGCATCCAGAGAGAATAAGGATGCTCTCCTCTCCTTTCTGGCGGTCTGCAAAACAAACCTGAGACACACATTCTCAGGGCTCATAGACAGCGACACAAACACTGATTTCCATTGTTGCACCGGTGTATACTGTGTGTGTGTTTCTCTCTCTGTGTATGCGGTGTGGCTCAAACATCAACAAGACATTCCCCCTGTGGGCTCAGGCGGCCCATCTGTGGGTTCAGATGCTATGCCTTATTAAGTTTTATACACTGTAGTTCACAAATGCACAGAATGCCCGAAGAACACGCAAGATCAATGGCACACAGGGGCATTCATGGTCGATGGCAGTGTCACTGTGGAAGGGAACTGGAGACCAAATGTGACCTTTATAGAGACTTTATGTTATAGAATAACTCAGCCTGTGCACAGTATTGTCAGTATGGAGACGGAGTACCTGATCGGAGTAGAAGAAGCCCAGGATTGCTATGGCCAGCTGTGTGAGGAAGACCAATGTCAGGCTGAAGGAGAACTAGAGTGAGAGAAGACACAAGTATTAAAGCACAGTCTGACTAAGGCAGAATCAAAACTGTCAGATTTGTTGTTACACACGAGATGTAAGGCTTGGCTTTGGATTAAATATAATTTGAGCTACCGTATCGGAAGCAAAGCACAGGGCCAGTATTAGTAATGTGTCTGTTATGTCTATTACTGTCTTGAGGAGGCGAATGTTCTCTCGAAGGGCTCCGATGCAGCCACAGAAAGTGATGAAGAACATGACCACCCCCACCACAATTAGGATGACAGCCGGGTCGATCAGGAACGTGTCCCGCACCGTGTCTGGCAGAAAGACAGGAACAGCCCCTGTTTAGATATCTGTCCTACCTTCACTTCTTTTCCTCCCTGCTTCTCTTTCTATTTGTCCAACCATTGTTAAAATTCATTCCTCGACCCCACACCATTTCTTTTTGTTTTCTCATCCTCTCTTCCAACACTGGCTGCATTCATTCTCGTAAAATATCAGTGAGCTGTTGTGGATTATACAGCGTGAAGAGGCGTAATCAGTGGGATGAGCTCAGGTTAATCATTTTCAGTGTCCATCTACTGCATATTACAAATTGAATGAGAAAATAATGACACAAGGTAAAATTAGGACAAAGCTAAACCTTGCCAACCCACTAAACGTGACAAGCGATTGTTTTGTGTTGGGGTGGCTCAACAGGTGTGCAGCTAAAAGAGGCCACCATCTCACACCAGCACAGCTCGAGAGACAACAGGAGCTTGATGGACATAACTCAATATAACAAATGTGCACATTCTACAGGTAAAACACAGAAAAAGGCCTTTACACACCAGGGGCGTTACTTTCATGCGGTCACTTTACACTTTTAAAACTTGTTTTTGTCATGAGCACTTTTACACAGAACATAATTACTACGCAGTGGAAAAAAAAAGACATTTTTCTTTCTTGAACGAGGTCGAGTTGTCTGAGTTTTGACACAGAGAATAAAGGAATCAACCAATGACATTGGGCGGACGAGACATCGTGTCACAACATCATGACAGTGGCGGGTGTGCTGATTGTTTGAGTTTCTCAGCACCTTGTATTACATGACAGAGGACATTATAAAGACAAGGACAACATGAGTAGCACTGGTGAACAGCTACACAGATGCTCTGCAGTCTGAACCAAGATGGCAAAGTTAATCACTCCTTTCAACTTTGACAAAGGCAGCCCTCGTAAATGTGGATAGGAAGCTGCTTTCTAAAATCTTGGCCTCTTGTTTAGAAAATCTCTCACCAGTTCTGATAAAGGGGGACCAGACAGGTTTTATAAGGGGTCGGAATTCAGCCACCAATATTAGACGTTTGTTGAACGCCATCCTAGCTTTTGAACAAAAATCTATTAACGGTCTGGTGCTTTCTCTCGATGCAGAGAAAGCATTTGACCGAATTGAATGGTCTTACTTACTGTATACACTGGGTAAATTTGGTTTGGGGGAGAACTTTATAATATGGGTAAAAATGATCTATACTAGTCCACAGGCAGCAGTCCTGACTAATGGATTCAGGTCTGAATACTTCAACACTTACAGAGGGGTGACGCAGGGTTGCCCTTTATCGCCCCTCCTATTCGCTTTGGCCATAGAACCACTTGCTGAGGCCATAAGGGTCACATCCACAATACATAGTTTAGAGATCGGACAGCTATGTCATAAAATAACTTTATACGCGGATGATGTTTTAATCCTTTTGACTGACCCTGAAACATCCGTACCAAGTCTTATTGATGTGATTGACAGATTTAGTTGTTTCTCTGGCTATAAAATCATTTTGGCTAAATCAGAGGCCATGCCTCTTGGTACTCTTTCAACAATACCAACTACTGTTCCTTCCTTTCCTTTCAAATGGTCTCCCAGTGGGTTTGTGTACTTGGGAATCTTCATCACCCCATCCTTCGATCAACTATACAAAGCCAACTTTGCACCCTTATTTTGTAAAATTAAACAGGACCTAGAGTGATGGTTGTCACTTCCTGTTTCCTGGTTGGGATGCATTGCCCTGGTCAAAATGAATGTGTTGCCCAGGTTATTGTACCCTATCCAAATGATCCCTATTTTGTTTTCTAAAAGGGTATTTAAGGACATAAATGGATGGCTCAGCTCTTTTATTTGGAACAAGTGTAGACCTAGGCTTAAGATGGCAGTATTACATCTACCAAGTTCAATGGGTGGCTTGGACTTACCTAATATTAAATTTTATCAACTCTGTGCCCATTTAAGATTTGTAAATGACTGGATTAAGGGTAAAATCTGGTTGGATATTGAGACAGCATTATCAAAGTGCAAACTAAGTGACCTACTATTTTGTAATAATTTTAAAGAAATTAAAACCTTTTGTACAAATCCTGTAACAATCAACACTCTAAAAGCATGGTGGCTTGTCCGCCGTCTCGAGGGAAGATCAAATATAACATCCATCTTTACCCCAATAATAAATAATCCTGCTTTTCCCCCAGGTTCTTCGGACCCCAGTTTTCAACAATGGTCTAAAAAGAATATTAAATGCCTCAGTGACCTCTTCTCAGATAATAAACTTATGTCATTTGAACTACTTACTAACAGTTACAAATTGTCTAAACAAGATTTCTTTCGCTTTTTGCAAATAAGGCATTATATCATTCATAGCACAACCCTTATTTATCACCCTGAAATATTTGCTGTTGAGAAAATTCTGTTTCAACAACAGTTGAAAGTGTCTCTGAGCTCATTTTACCATGTACTTAATGGTTTTTCTACTACTGATGCGCAGGGGGTCAGAGGTGTGTGGGAGAAGGAGCTGTCTGCAACCATAGATGAAGAAAAGTGGGATACCATTTGGTCTCTTGCAAAAAGGATTTCAATTTGCACTCGGACAAGAGCAATACAACTTAAGATTCTACACAGATTACATTTATCTCCTCACCGCAGGCACCTCTTCAACCGCTCTCTTTCCCCTTTGTGTCTCAAGTGTAAAACTGATGTGGGAACTTCAATTCATTGTTTCTGGTCTTGTCATAAACTTCAAAGATATTGGGTTGAAATTATAAGTGAAATGGATAGAATTTTTCACATTAATATAGATATGGATCCCATGTCCCTGATTCTAGGTCTTCCAAGTGACCGTCTAAAAACAGCAGTCAACAAAAGATTGTATAATATTCTAACGTTTGCAGCTAGGAAAAATATTCTCTTGCAGTGGGTCAGTGACAAGATTCCCTCTGTCTGTGGTTGGCGTAAAATAATTTTTGAACTGATCCCTCTAGAATATCTTACCAACGTCATACATTACAGCGTAGATCAGTTCTACAGAGTGTGGCGCCCATTTCTGGACTATATCGGACTGGACCTTTCCTCCATTCTGTTGAAGGGACTGTTGTGCACTTGAACAACATTCGGGTACTGTAAGACTGAACCACCACCTCTTGTATTATGCCATATGTTTGTCTCTCATGTAAGAGCTGCTTTGTACGTTTTGTGTTTGTTTTGTTGTGTGTCTAGTTTTTGTAGACACTGTTTTGCTGAATGGAAACAAAAACTGCAATAAAAACAATGAGGAAAAAAAAAAAAAAAAAAAAACCTTGACAAAGGCAGCGCATTCCAGATCTACTCCTTTCACTCTTACCTTTCACAATAAAAGCCTTAGACATATACTTTATGTCGATTCAACTAGGGCGAATCTATTTCATTCCTACTACTGGGTGGTCGTCTTTTCGGATTATCGTGGCCTAAAATGCCTGATTTCATGGCAGCTTTTCCAAAAAAATTGCAGTGCATACCACAGTGTGTTTAGGCGCACTAATGTCACCATTAACCATGCATGTTTAATGCATGCCCCGGATTCGTCAAGCACTTGCAATATATCTGGATATAACAGCCTCTGTTGTTGTCATCTGTCTTGTCTGTTGTCCACATTTCAGCCATATTCTGGGTGTGTCTTGTCGTTAGAAAACTGTTTGTCAACTAGTGACTTATGTTTGTGCTCAACCACAACGTTGCACACGGTGCAGAACAGTTTATCCCCGCTTTGGAGCAATATCAGGGAATGGCCTCGTACCATCTTTAGCTGTCTTTATTGTTGGCAGATGGGAAACAGCTGTGTCGCACATGTCTGCGTTCTCACAACCAGAGATGAGGAATTTAGCGACGTTGTGCAGGGGACTGCAGTGATTGGTGAAACTCGCAGGAAACTATGATGATTGGTCAGATTTGTAGAAAATGTGCAAAATTCACAGGCATTGGTTGAGTCTGTGGTAATTGTTGCGATCACAACATCCTGGAGGAGCTGCTGTTCCAACCTTTAATTGAACAAGTATTCCAATTGAATACAAATATTTGCAGGCGAGTGTTTGGCATTTTTGTGTTGTTTATTTGTCATGCTCCCTGGTGTGCAAAGGCCCTAATAAACAATTTCTGCAGAACTTTAGAAGTGTGAAAAAATGCCTTTGTGTGTACCTGAATGTGGGAAAAGTGTGTCAGGGACATACCTGTAGCCTTCTGGACTTTAGCATACACCCCGATGGCTATAATCAACAAGGAGAAAACCTGGGGGAAAGAGGGACATTGTAAATCACAAAGACTTGAATCAATTACCAAATGAGCAGAGGACTTCTTTTCTCTTTTCTCTTATAGTCGTTCAGATCTGATGTTGCTTCATGTTTTGCTTCAAGACGATTTTAGTATCTGGTAGTTCCAAAGTGGCTGTAAAATAGTGCTGCAGTAATTTATTATGATAATGGGAAAATGAAACATGGGCATCGGCGAGGATTCGGCCTGGTTAGATAAATAGTTAGACATTTTTGGGAAAAACACTTATTCCCTTTCTAATAGAAAGTTTCATGAGAAGATAAACCCACTCTCAAAACATGAGGGTGGCATCGATCTTCTCAGCTAACTCTTAACAGGTAGAGAAATAAGCTAAATTCCCCAAATCTTGCACTACTCTTGAAGAGTTTAGATGAGAATTTGGGATCCATTAGATTATCTTTCTTAATTATCTAATGCAAAATTTGAAAACTGCACCAGTCATTGATGTGTAACTCCTCTTATTTCAATGTGTGAAAAACTTGCGAGGACAATATGGTGCTGCTAGTGAGCTGCCTTTGTTTTGAGCAGACTCTATTTGCACGGTCAAGCAGGACAGGTGTGATCAGATTAGTGACAGTGTGTCTTTCCTCAGGTGCTGGCTGTAGTAGTCATGGAAACAGCGCCAGTTTATGTGTTTCCCATAAACAGACAGATGGACGTCAGTGGGGGAAAAAATGACAAAACATATGGAGCTTGGCTTTAATCATCTGAGTGTGGAGTGGAGAATTAGTTTTTCCTGCAAACTGGGTCTGCCTGTGATTTTAAAGGAAATCCTTCAGAGCCTCTTTCCTCAGTTTGTACATACGAGTATTTCTGTAAGAATCTCCCTGTCGAGTGGAACTTGACCTTGGTAAGAAAATTATGATTATTATCCGCCCCAAGCTTCACTGAGCAGTGCCTTGACTATTGTATGTGGACAAAAGATCATTATCATTTTTCTTCAGTGGCATGAACAGCAGAGACAGAGAGGAACAATCGGCAAGAAGGTGAAAAGGGGTGAGAAAGCAACAGATGGGTTTTGTGTGGAGTTCGGGGTTTTGATCTGGGTGAAACCTGCAATGTTCTTTTGTAAAAAGACAGAAGAAAACATTACAGTAGCAAAAAAAAAGCTCATACTGTATAAAATATTGAACACAACAGAGACATCGGCAGCCCACGACGTGCACGCATTGGATAAAGGGAGGAATACCTCCTTTTAATGAGGTCTCAAAACAGTGACAGCATCCAGGCACAGACGGCTGAGTGTGTGTGTGTGCTGTAAGTAATGGTGTTGCTGGAGGATGTGTTGTAAAGCTGCTGAGGACGTGATCTCGTACTGACACAATAAAAACCGCAAAGAAGGTGGAATGTAGGTGGAATTAGAGCTTCCTGTTGATTGCATTGTCAACACTAATTTCTCTCCTTTCCTTGATTGTTTTTTTCACCTTGAATAACAACCTGCATGGCTTCGCTTTCATTTCCAGCCCCCAGCTTTACACACAGTCTCCTGATTACTGATTGTGTACGTGTCAATGTGTGTCTCCGTTTGTATACAGACCTTCTTTTGTTTGGTCTGTAAGAACATGGATTTCTTTTTTGTTTCTATCTGAAAAGGCTGTATTGGATCTCTGGAGGAGGATCCGTGGCATAACTTGCTTTGAAAGAGGTGTAATTTTTATTTGGCAACCACTCACGTCCAACTCAATTTTTTTTTTTTTTTGAAAAGGTGCTCCAGAGAAGTAAATTGTCACTTTGAAACTGTATGGCTCTTTTTTAATCTCCCTCACATTTGTGAATCAATAATTTGACTTGACAAGACAATAGCTGACAGAACACAAGACATCGATGGTGCACGATTTCTGTGCAGTGTTTTCAAGAGTTTTGAAAGCACAGTTTGTTTTTTTAAAGGATATTCTCTGTTGTGTAGGAGTGTTTGCACCTGCAGCTCCATTTGTCAGTTCGCCACTGTGTGTGCTTATGTGAATACGGGTGGCAGAGCGTATTTGCAACAGGAGACACACACACACACACACACACACACACACACACACACACAGTGAATGTATTCCAGCTCTGTTTTCAGGCTTTTCAAAGGGATGAATCAGGCTTCTCCCGGTGGATTGTGTGCGGAGGTGAAAGCCAGCTGAACTGAGCCGCGGGGACACGGGGACAAAGACCTGATGGATTAGGGCTGCAGTGTTCACTTCTGAGCCCGTGTCTGATAAACAAAGTCAACACGGGCCGGGCTGTGTGGCTGCTGTGGCTGCAGTTACTGCTGATTGGCTCTAAACGCAGTGAGAGCGCGGTACAGTGTTTGCCCCCTCGCTGTGTTAGTGTAGGAATGGATGAACAGGGATATGATGGAGGTGCAGGGACTCCATAGTGCTACAATATGTGATCCTTGTGCTCAAAGTAGTAATGTGGCAGGGAAGCGAGGGAGTCGGAGAGAGTTTTAACGATGTGTGTGTTGTGTGTGTATTTGTGTGCTGATGAGGGACAAAAGGCCTGGTGCACGGTCTAATGGCTGCAGCTAAGTGTCTCCTTCTCTTTTTCTCTAACAGTTGCAGTTGTCTCCACGCCTCCTAGGTGCACTTACAACCAGCAGGGGAGCTTGTATTATTTTACAGTGTGTACTCTTGGTATTCAGTCATATAAAAGTGGATATATTTGTAATACAGTAATAATTCTAACAATTGAAATGTCAATGTCCACTTGCAGTGGCAGAACGTTTATGCCTCAACCATTTAGGTTAACAACAGTCAGCTAAAAGTAATGGATAAACATTTCAAATTTTAACCTTGCATTAATCACTCTTGTTTGTTACTCTGGTCTACTTTAACCAAGTATCCAGTGCTTTAAAGGTTCAGTTGTGGGATTTAATGGCTTCTAATGGAGAGGTTGCAGAACTGAAAGTTGTAGGAAAACTATGGTGGCAGACAAGAAGGCATGAAAATGTGAATGACCCTATTCAGAGCCAGTGTTTGTTTTATCCATTCTGGGCTACTGTAGAACAATATGGTTGACTCTGTGGGAGAAGACCCACTCCATATGTAGATATAAGCAGCATTACAAATATTATATACCATTTCCAGTGTTGGGAAGGTGACTCTTGAAATGTCATAGGTTACAGTGGTTTTCAAACTTTTTGTGCCCAAGGCACACCTGTATTTTTATCTGTGCACAACAGCCTCCATAACGTGTGTTATCACTCTTCTCACGACACGTTTGTTTTTATTTACTAATATCAAATAACAATTGACAACCACCTCTTACTCATGAAATAATTATTACATCAAACCACCAATAACACATCCATTTAAACTGGAAATAATGTATATAAGATAAGATAATGTGATGTGTCACACACTTACAACTCCTTTGCATGAATGGCGACAAATAAATTCCTCATGAAGGTTTTTTTTTTGTTTTAAATCAAATTAAACTAAACTACAATTTTTAGTTAGAGTTTGCCTCTTTATTAGGAAATGGGTGCACATAACATACTGTTACAGTCAATTAAAAATTAATTCATAACTTTTGTATAGTTGAATATTGCAATAATATTGTGTGGTTATCACATAATCCCATGGCACACCTGGATTTCAATCATGGCACACCAGTGTGCCCTGGCACACCATTTGAGGACCACAGGGTTACAGAATATTAGTCACTGAAAATGTAATAATGCAACAATTTTAATTACTTCATCAAAGTAATGTAAATTATTGTTACTTCTCTAACAATAATTTTGAACAGGGCAATAAAACTGAAAAATGTCAGACAAACGTGTTCCTGCAACAGAATAATTGTTATATTCTATGTTTTAACCTTTTGCCGACAATAATATATTTGGAAGTTACCCTTTTGAAATCACTGTCAATGTTTGAGTTAGTAACAGTAATTAATTTACATATTTTTCTCAGTCAGTGTCTTTGGTTACTTTTATTTTATATAATTACATGTAACTAGTCATCTTTAATCCCTAAATCGTACACACTGGACCTTTAAACCATCTCATTCAGTGTATTTTACTTTTAGCTTACTATGAATTTTTAGCTAGAAGTAATGGATACACATTTAAAAATTAAAATTTATATTATTCTATCCATTACCTTCTAGGTTTTTCAGTCACTTTCCCAATAGTTTAGGTAGGTATTTCCAAAATTTAAACATTAGCCTACTTTAAGATAGCTCTTTTAATCATTTAGCTGTTAGCTTAGATTCGGCTAAATTTCAACTGTTTATCAGTTACCCTTAGCTGTCTGTTTGAACCATTTATCAGATGCTTTTAACTATTTAACTTATTTATACTTCACTTTAGCTAACTGGTATGACGTTTTATCCATTACCTTTTTGTTTATTAAACAGTTTTTTCTAATACTTTTAGGCTACTTCAGTAAAAACATTTCTTGTAGCCTGTTTTGACCATTTATCAATTACAGTAGGCCAAATTTCAACTGTTTATCAATCACTCAGCTATCTTGTCATTAGTTCAATACTATTAGCTATCTATTTTGATAATTTATGATTACTATTATCTCTTTATTTTAACCATTTATCCAAGACATTGAAGCTAACTTTTTCAGCTGTGTAATGTTACTTTCAGCCAACTATTTAAACCTTAATCCATTAATTTTGGTGAACTGTTTAGACTGCTTGTCTGCTAACCACTACTTTACTTTCTTCCAAATTAATCTAGCTACTCAACAGTCCCCTCACATACTCCTGGCACCTGCACAAGGACCCCTTGGGTAGGAGCCCAGTAATATAATATATCATATGGACTTGAAATTTGTGCAGTCTTGTTGTGAAACAGTGCAGCCTACAACACATTTAAGTAACAGTACATGACAGAAAATATATAAACATTCAGATACAGTGTACCAGCAGGCGTACACAGTTTGCAGGTGTTTTGTTGTTTCACTATGAGTCAGTGCTCAACTGATTTGATAAGAATGCACCACTCAACATTTGCTACAGTGATGTATGAGCAATCTCAGTGTCCATATATAACTGTAGTAAATTTAAAATAGGTAGCAGCAGGATGGCTGGGTGCTCCTGCTGTTTGCAGCAACGGATACTATCTGAATTATATTTCTTCATTTATTATTCATAAGCTTTTTTACTTTGCCGTTTTTAGTTTGGCCTCCTTTTCTAGCAGATCTGACTTTTTTGGAAAGCTACAACTCCCTGATAGCTGGTGATTTGTATCCCCAGAAATATTAAGAATATATAGCGTCCCAGGACACCATAACAGCTGTGTTTTTGTCAGTTTTGGCGTGTGCTGCACAAAGACAAATCCTTCAACAGCATAACTCTACTCACCCAAAAAAGGAAGCTGAAGAAGAAGAGAAAATATCTGATCCAGGGGTTGACGAAACTGAACGTCTCGGCTCGGTTTAGATTCTGTTTCCTGTCCATTGTTTGATGGTGTTTTTGCTGTCACATAGAGCCACTGTGAGTTTTACTTCAAAACAGTCCTCAGCCCGAGCCCCACCCCGCAGATACTCAGCCGCCATGTGAATCTGTGAGGAAGGGGGGTCGTTTGCTGACTGTGGGGGTGTCAGGCTGTCTAAAAAAGGGGACATGAGGGTGTGACGCTGCTCCGCCATGCTGGTAGGGCCCAGAACTGTCTATGTAGGCAGGCAGGTCAGATTACACAAAAAATATCTCTGGCTGACTGCAGCTGAATGGCTTACAAGCTTTGGAGTATTGTCAGCCAGCTGCCAGACTGTAGAACTTCTTTCACCTCCGTGCACTCTTCCTGTCTTTCCCTGTTACTTCAAAGTTCCTAGATGCTGTATAATGGGCCCACAAGCATATTGTCCACTTGTTTCAATATTGATGTTAATTGTTTCTGTAAGGCTTGTGTTCTAGTTTACAAATTACAGCCTCAAAGACAGATGTTTTCCTGCAAAAGACTGGAGCAGAATCACAGTTGACAAAGGCTCGGCGATGACGTCTTTGAGAGGAAGGACATCTAATGTAATTAAATGATTTTGGGCAGTTTGCGCCAGAGTTTCCGTTGTGCTGTGTCTGTTTATGCTTGAGAGTGAATCTGCTAAACTTCAGCCGAATATCCCTCAAATAAATCAAGAAGCTAAAATGTCAGGGCACCAATTCTGTAATGAAATTTAGATGTAATATTCAATTGATAATCGAATGGCAAAATGGATCGTCTGTCTGACTGACAAGATCATCTGAGGACACAGAACAGAAATAAAATATATCACACAACTATAAAGTTAATGTGAAGTATGAAGGATGCTACTGGCTCCCTTCGAACTCTAGCTCATAGCTCAGAGATGTAGTCTGTCCTTGGCATTGGGAATACTGTATGTGAATACTTAATCACAAGATTTTTTTTTTATCATTACATCAAGAGTCTCCTGTGGAGTGACAGAAGGACATAAGGTCCCTCAGGTACCTCAGTACCTTGCCAGAGCTAGAGCTTATGAGACTAGACTTAATGAGATTGATCTTTTTTTTTAGACAGAATACATCTTTGTTTTTAATCCCACAAACACTTAACCAGGAGAGTTTGCTCTTACTAAGCATCATTTTTACTTTACCTTTTGTATTTGATTTAATCGTTCAACTTCTAAATTTTGGATTTCTGCCAAGAGTTAAGTGACAGTTGTGTTTGTACACTACATATGAAATTACTGCCAGCACCTGGTTGACTGGAAACGAGTGGAAACTGAAGTGTAGAAAAGTGTCATGTTGTAGTTTTACGAATGTGACATACTGGCACATGAAAAACAAATACAGTGTTAATTGGTGAGCTTTAGAGGTGCTGGTGGCAGAGTTTGGACAGAGCCAGTGGTTTCCGGCTTTTGTTTTATGCTAACTGCCTGCTGATTGTAACTACATATTTACCTACAAACATGTTAGTATTATGAATCGTGTCATCTTACTCTCAGCAACAAAGTGGATACCTGTATTTCCTAAAATATTGACCTGTTCATTAAGAAAAACTAAACTGCTCATGTATGTACTCTATATTATATTATATATTATATTATATATATAATATTAAGCTACTGTCAGCCAGACCCCCAGAAAGCGCGCCAGACTTAGAAGCCAATTTTGTGGTTGCCAAACAGTGGAATACTAACTTCCGAGCCCATCACAGGATAACACTGGGCCCAAAAGACCTTTTCCCATAGATTAACATTGTGAAAGAGACATCTGTAAATCAGTGGATACATTTTTTTAGTGTCGTAACTGCCACAGAATGATTTCCTTCACCATCAGGATTGGATCCATGAGGTCTAATAACATCTGGAAAGTCTAGAAAAGCTGCATGATCAAATTACTATTCCCATGTAAGTTAGCGGAGAGCTAAACCAGAAGTTTCTAGGTGTGCTTGCTCTATGGGACCAACCAAGGGGCATCTTCTGAGGCTGATAAAAAAAAGCCAATGTGGAAGTGCCAAAAACTGCAGTTCCTCTAATGGCCACTTGAGGCTAGCTCCAAAACAGTAAATCCCTGTAGACTCCTGTGTTAAAATGCCCAAATTTATAGCAGAAATAAACATCTTCACAGCCTGGTACCAAAAATGGTTTTGGTCTAGTTAGCTAATTTCAACATTTATGACAACTGTATGGGGGGTGATTTTTTTTTTTTATTACTTACCTGTTTAATGTTAGTAAGGCCCATATTTAAGGGCGAGGCAGCTAGAGTGACAGGCTGTCTAACAATAGTGTCCTCAGTCTCAGTCAGATCCACCCCTTGCTCCTCCACAGCGCCAGCCTCTTGCCCAAATATGGTCACTTCTGGCTCCAAAAACCAAGATGACGGCTGTCAAAATGCCAAACGCGAGGCTTCAGAAAGGCAGTCCACAAACCAGTGGGTGATGTCACGGTAGCTACGTCCATTATTTTTTCCAGTCTGTGAGCCCAACAATGCAGAATCTTTTGTGTTATTTTATAAGGGGCAGTTGAATGTTTTTGGCTTCAAGCATCACAGAGCAACTTTCATGAAGGGGGGTATCGCCTCCAACTTTGTATCCAGTTCTCTTTATATCCATGTTGTCAGCGGATGGTTTGCTTCACTTAGCATAAAAACTGGAAACATTTGGAAGTCTAAAACTGACGTGGTTTTACTGGGAAGTAGCCTTGCACATAACACTTATGTTTTTGTACAGATTCAACAAATACAATATAACACATTCATTGGTGAGCTTTCGAGGCAGTGTTAGGTGCATTTTGTTATCATTAAACAGTCAGGTTAGCTTTTTCCAGTTGTAATGCTAAGCTAAGATAACCTACCTGGCTGCTAGTAGTCTGAGTGGGCGGAAGTTCGCTGCATAGATCAGCCTCTCATTGGGCGGAATGAGCCACCCGCTGAAGTCCCGCCCTACCACCTCTGGTTGTGTAACCGTTTTCAACCGTTTTCAACACGTCCTTTACTAACTTTTGCGGTGTTTGATCTTGCGGGGATGTAGCCATTTTTCTGCCATGGTTCGTGTCCTGTAGGCGATATTTTTGTGGGCGTGTTACACCAAAACCTGTTTCCCCCCTGGCAATATTTTTGCAAGCGCACCGTTGCTGTGACACCACCTAGAACAATTGTGATTGGTTGAAAGAAATACAAGCAGCCAGGGCGTTTTTTTCTCTCAATCTCAAAGTGAGAGTCGGCCCAGCCAGACCTTTCTTTTCTTGAGAAAGGTCTGGTGAGCGAGACTAGGCTGCTAGCTGTAGCTTCATCTTTATCAAACAGACCAATCAAAGCTCCCTAAAAGTGAGACATCTTGATTGCCCCCTGGTGGCTGGCTGCAGTATCAGTAATAAGCCCTGCCCATCCTCTGGTAGTGGATGGGACATGGTCCAAACTAAAAACTCAAGTACACATCAAATATATTTTTTCCAAAGATAGCTTTAGTCATTTAGGTAGTTCTTAACTCACTGGTGTATGTCTTAGTTATCTGATGCTATGGAAAGGGGGTTTCACAGCTGTGTGTGGCATTGCCTATCCTTATATACAGTCTGTAATACATACATTAGAGTGGTATCAATCTTCTCATCAAACTCTTGGCAAAAAAGCAAATCAGAGTTTTTCCCCAAAATGTGAACCCGTTCCTTAAAAACACACACACACACACACGCAGCTTTCCTGCTTAAATTTGAAAGACTCTTTAATTTAACTGTAATTACTTTTATACAAATCTTGGAAATCATCAGTTATTGTCTATGTTGGCATCTGCCAATATTTTGGGAGATCTGGTGGAACCAGCAGATACCCAACCTGAGACTTTCTCTTGTACGTCAGTCATTTTGGTTAATCTCTTCTTCACAGACACATGAATTAATCTCTAATTCACAGACATGTGAATATAGTCAAATACATAAAAAAGCTAATTAAAAGCTAAATCGTTCTCAGACCATGGCTGATGGGCTCTAAGATTGCATTTTGGCCATTGTGGCCTGCCTGTCCTCATGGACTGTTTACCTATTGTTCAGATTTCACTGGTCAATACTACTCAGACTATAAATGGAAACCAAAACTCTTCCAATACCGAAATCTTGTCCCGTTGTCGACAGATTCTGCATACAGAGGCAGATATCTTTTTATAGAGGTGACATTTATATAAACAGTGTCAAACTGAAACCAAGTGTACTTCAGACAGCGTCTTCAGATCTTTTAAGCTAACTAAAGTTTTTAAGGACAAACAGATGGAAGCTACAGTAAGCCTGCAGCACCATTAGTCATGCTGCTTTTGCATGCGAAGTCATGTCAAAACAGCATGACAAAGACTAAAAAGCCTCGCTGCCGTGCAGTTAAAAAGATAGCGAGTTTCCATGTAAAGACACGACAGATTGAGAACAGATAGCAGCAAAAACAACCTGCAGAGATCAGCTTCACTGCAGGTTAACAAGCTGAATAATGCTGTGTGAGGACAAACGAACGCTCTCATCAAAATGAAAGCCTTCCCCAATTCAGGTTAATGTAATGAGTTGTGCTGAGGATGAGGATGGAAAAAAAGTGAAACGCTGTTATAACAATTAGGGGTAAAAAAAAAGTATCCACGGTTGATTCTGTTTACTTTATTTCAGTACATGTTACTCATACAAAATAATCTGTACAAAGGCTAAAATAGGTCATATTTTTGCATAGAAGGAACAGTGATGAAAAACAAAAAGCCAGGATGGAATGGCACAATAAACTCCACTCACTATCACACATGGGCCTGATAACAATTAGGTTAAAAAAGGGATAAAGCTCCGTACAAAAATACTCTGCTGCTCACTCCAAGCTGTGGAAACGAGAGACAAATTGGCGATGGTTCCCACTTTCATCATCTCCCTTTTGTTCTTTTAAAAAACCCCTCTGCTCAGCTGGCTGACTACCATTAGCTCATCTCAGTGTCTTTAGGACAGCAGTCCCCCAGGTTTTGTTATTCTTTTTTTAAAAAAAGAGGCCATTTTAAGGCGGCGACGCCACTCTCTTTCATTCAGTACACCATGGGATCTGCTGTGACACCGCTTCACTTTGCTCTTCATGCCAAGTCCTGTCGTCCAGCCCCCCACCAAAAAAAGAGTTCAGCATCAAACTCTGTTTAAACACTGCCTATATAATTGACAGTGACATAAAAAGGGAATACATCAGGAGCATCGAGTCATTAAACATGAAAGGCAATGAGCGTACGGTAT